CTACAGTTTCAAAAAGAATTTGGTCTGATTATATACATAAGTGCAGGAAGACTAGCAGTTGACCATAAAAGGTCTTTAAAACCTGTTTCACTGAGGGGCATCTGCATGGCTCAGTGAGTTGAGCAGCTGCCTTTCACTTGGGTCATGGTCCCCGGGTCCTGGGATCGAGCCCCACGTCCAGGTCCCTGCTCAGCGGAGAGCCTGCTTCTCCCTCTCCCTCTGCCTACCACTCTGCCTACTTGTGCTCTCTCTCTATATCTCTGTGAAATGAATAAATAAAATCTAAAAAAAAAAAAAACTGTTTCACTGGAGCTTTTGTAAGAAACCTCTAGACTGAATATTTAACAGCCCCTCTAGGCCAGGAAGCAAGCCAAAATTTGTGCCAAATACTTGCCATCAGACTTAACCTGCAACACCTATAGACTTGGGTAAATTCTCTGTTCTTGAGAAACTGAAAAGATGCTGAGGTTCCTGCACCTGCCAGGATACGACCTTTTCTTTTTTTTTTCTTTTTTTGAGAGAGGGAGAGTTCACATGCAGGAGAAGGGGCATAGGGAGAGGGAGAAGTAGAATCCCTGCTTTACTTGGGTATGGAGAAAAGATATCGTTTCATTTGTTCACAAAGGTATATTTCATCAATTCATTATAGATCAGTTCGCTTAAGAGAAGCTTCCTTAAATCTGAAGGAAGAAAACATTTTTAAAAGTCAACATTGTTTCAGGCAGCAACCTCTTCGACCTCAGCTGCAGCAACTTCTTCCTAGGTACATTGCCAAAGGCAAGGGAAGCAAGGGCAGAAATGAACTATTGGGACCTCATCAAGATAAAAAGCTTTTGCACAGCAAAAGAAACAGTCAACAAAACCAAAACACAGAATGGGAGAAGATATTTGCAAATGACATGTCAGATAAAGGGCTAGTATCCAAAATCTATAAAGAACTTCTTAAACTCAACACCAAAAAAACAAATGATCCAATCAAGAAATGGGCAGAAGACATGAACAGACATTTTTCCAAAGAAGACATCCAAATGGCCAAAGACACATGAAAAAGTGCTCAACATCGCTTGGCATCAGGGAAATCCAAATCAAAACCTCAATGAGATATCACCTCACACCACTCAGAATGGCTAAAATTAACAAGTCAGGAAACGACAGATGTTGGCCGGGATGCGGAGAAAGGGGAACCCTCCTACACTGTTGGTGGGAATGCAATCTAGTGCAGCCACTCTGGAAAACAGTATGGAGGTTCCTCAAAAAGTTGAAAATAGAGCTACCATACAATCCAGCAATTGCACTGTTGGGTATTTACTTAGAAGATACAAATGTAGGGATCTGAAGGGGTACGTGCACCCTGATGTTTATTGCAGCAATGTCCACAATAGCCAAAGTGTGGAAAGAGCCAAGATGTCCATCGACAGATGAATGGATGAATGGATAAAGAAGATGTGGTATGAGCGCCTGGGTGGCTCAGTTGGTTAAGTGACGGCCTTCAGCTCAGGTCATGATCCTGGAGTCCGGGGATCACATCGGGCTCCCTGCTCAGCAGGGAGTCTGCTTCTCCCTCTGACCCTCCCCCCTCTCGTGCTCTCTCACTCTCTCTCTCTCTCTAAAATAATAAATAAAATCTTAAATAAAAAAAGAAGAGGTGGTATGTATATACAGTGGAATATTATGCAGCCATCAAAAAGAATGAAATCTTGCCATTTGCAACAACGTGGATGGGACTGGAGAGTGTTATGCTGAGTGAAATAAGTCAATCAGAGAAAGACATGTTTCATATGACCTCACTGATAGGAGGAATTCTGACTCTCAGGAAACCAACTGAGTGTTGCTGGAGTGGGGGGTTTGGGAGAGATGGGGTGGCTCGGTGATAGACATTGGGGAGGGTAGTGCTATGGTGAGCACTGTGAATTGTGCAAGACTGTTGAATCACAGACCTCTACCTCTGAAACAAATAATACATTATATGTTTAAAAAAAAGAAGAAGAAGAAGAAGAAGAAGATAGCAGGAGGGGAAGAATGAAGGGGGGTAAATCGGAGGGGGAGATGAACCATGAAAGACGATGGACTCTGAGAAACAAACTGAAGGTTCTAGAGGGGAGGGGGGTGGGAGGATGTGTTGGCCTGGTGATGGGTATTAAAGAGGGCACGTTCTGCTTGGAACACTGGGTGTTATATGCAAACAATGAATCATGGAACACTACATCAAAAACTAATGATGTAATGTATGGTGATTAACATAACATAATAATTAAAAAATATAAAATAAAAAAAGTCAACCATGTTTCAAACAAGAGTTCATAAAAACTACAATTATCTTCCTCTGTCCATTCAGTTTCATGTTATTAATTTTTGATCTGTTTGAATCCAGTTTTTCTATTAGTTCTGGTAATTTTTACTTTAGTTTTGCTATCTCAAAGGTATCAGATACCTACATTTTTTGAAGTCCTGTCCATGAATATCCTTGAAGATGTAACACATTTGCAGTAGAATCAGAGTAAGATGGGAACCGTACGTGACAAGAAATGACAGGGGCCATGGCTATGGATGGGTTAGAGGTCTTTACAATGCAATTGACAAGGAAATGTTTTATTCCCATGACACGGAACACAAACATCTATCAAACACAAATTCAGAAAGTTACATAGTTGTAAGCACATGTAGGATTTTTTAAAATATTAAAAATATCTTTTTAATGCATCAAAGTCCAGATAAACATAAGAAATATTTTGGCAAAATACAGAATGCATGTTTTCTAGGCACATAATTTTAAAAATGAATAAAAACTTGTTTACCATATTTTTTTTGTAAGAGCGGACCAGTAATTCAAGAAAAATGTTTACTTTCTAACCAAGTTAAAACAGAATTTTAATTTTCCATCTGCATAGTTTGATATTTAAATATATCTTAATTTTAACCAGTATTGACAACACGTAAAATTCCTTTCCAGGTTCCTTTCCAAAAACCAACTACAACTTTCTTTGATACATTGAAATTTAGACTTAAGTTTTCTTTCTTCAAATAACCAGCTTTATCTTAGGACAAAAATCATTTTTCTTTTCCCTGAACAAAAAATGTGTTCCTATTCCAAATACCTTTTTTTCACCAAAAACACATACCTTACTTTCCTGGCACACAGAACTTTTTTCTTTATCATTTCTAGTAGTCTGTTATATATATTAGAATTCTTAACTCTTAGAAACCTTAGTTTCTAGGGAAAGCTATATAGTAAATGATTGTGAACTATTTGTTATGCCAGTAGTCTTTAGATTAGCAAATTTAGGAATACATTTCACAATTTCTAGAAACATAGTACCATAGTTCAATAATGTACACACCAGGTTTACTAATGGACCCGTGGTTATCTTTATAGTTTTCCTGTAATAAGACAAAAGAAGATAAACCTATGGTGAGTACTTAATGTTTTATTATATTATTGTATTTAGTTTGGCAAAAAATGAAGAACTAAGTAAATTGTTAAGAAGCCAATACGTGGAGCACCTTGATGGCTCAGTAGGTGAAGCACACAACTCTGGATTTCAGGGCTGTGAGTTTGTGCTCCATGTTGGGCGTGGAGCCTACCTGAAAAAAAAAAAAAAAGGCAATACTTTCCCTAGCAATGGACAGATTCAATGCAATCCCTATCGAACCCCTGAATGCCTGTTTGCACACTCCGAAAAGAGGATCTTAAATTTTCTGTGCAATTACAGGGACTCAGAACATCTGAACAATCCTGAAGATGAACCAATTTGTAAGAACTCACAATTCCAGATTTCAAAACTCTCTAAAATTACTTACAAAGCTACAATAATCAAGAATGTGGTACTGGCCTAAAATAGACGTAAGGATATATTAAACATATTTGAGAGTCCAGAAATAAATCACTTATCTGGGGCGCCTGGGTGGCTCAGTCATGGAGTCCTCTGTGGGGAGACCTGTTCTTGAGGAGGAAGAACAGACACACAGACTATGTTGTGGCCTGAGCCAGCACAGGTGTCCAGGAGAACACCTGCTTGACAGATAGAGCCCACCTGCACATGCCCCAGAGTCTGGGGTAAATTAAAAAAAATAAATACACAGTAACTTTTTATTTTAATTTTTTATTTTTTTTATTCTTATATTAATCCCCATACATTACATCATTAGTTCTAGATGAAGTGTTCCATGATTCATTGTTCGTGCATAACACCCAGTGCTCCATGCAGAATGTGCCCACCTCAATACCCACCACCAGGCTAACCCATCCTTCCACCCCCCTCCCCTCTAGAACCCTCAGTTTGTTTTTCAGGGTCCATCGTCTCTCATGGTTCGTCCACCCCTCCGATTTCCCCCGCTTCATTCTTCCCCTCCCACTACCTTCTTCTTCTTCTTTTTTGTTTTCTTAACATATATTGCATTATTTGTTTCAGAGGTACAGATCTGAGATTCAACAGTCTTGCACAATTTACAGCGCTTACTAGAGCATATACCCTCCCCAGTGTCTATCACCCAGTCACCCCATCCCTCCCACCCCACCCCCCACTCCAACAACACTCAGTTTGTTTCCTGCGATTAAGAATTCCTCATATCAGTGAGATCATATGATACATGTCTTTCTCTGTTTGACTTATTTCACTCAACATAATACCCTCCAGTTCCATCCACGTCATTGCAAATGGCAAGATCTCATTCCTTTTGATGACTGCATAATATTCCATTGTATATATATACCACATCTTCTTTATCCATTCATCTGTCGATGGACATCTTGGCTCTTTCCACAGATTGGCTATTGAATACACAGTAACTTTTAATATGCATAGGGGGTTTGGCCACCACCCCCATGATCGAAATGACAACATTTCCATCACCCGCAGAGAAAACCCCCTTCCCTCCAGCAGTCAGGCCAGAGTCCCCCTGCACTCAGCCCTCTGTGGCCCCCAGTTCCCTCTGGTCTGCAGTGAGTTCCCTACTGTGCCCATTTCATAGGGACTGAACCTCAGAACATTTGTCCTTGTCAGCGCTCCATTCACCGGCCTGAGGAGCGTGTGCATTGCTGTGGGGATGTCAGCTCCACCATTGGGAAATATGCAGATCGCTTCAGGTATGTACACGTCACTCTTGTGCGGAGGCCTTGCTAATCTTCCAATTTTAATGCATAGGACGTTGAAATGAGCCTAAGTTATTTTTCCATATTGGTCTTCTTGTCACCTTTTAATCTGTACATTTGTGCGTGCTCCCATTTTGTTCAATGCATTAGCCAGTGGTTGTTTACTGTGTTATGAAAATTATATTATGTGTTAATTAGACCATTTTTCAAGTTTTTGTCTCATGCATTTTTGCTTTACTTGTGGTGGGAGGTCGGCTGTGCTTCCTTTCCCTTTTCCCTATTCCCTTGTGCCTAGGAGACGCTAAATGTCTCCTTCCCCCTCTTTCCCCATCGCTGAGGTGTTCCCAGGGCTCCCCTCCTCACGGTCTCACCCCATCTGCCCACAGCACAGCCTCTGAGTCCTCCTGACTCCCTCCTGCTTGCCCTGGATGCCCGTCCTGTGGGCAGGGCTCGGGTGTCCCCTTGGCTGTCCTGTGGCATCACACTCAGGGACTCTCTCCTCGGATGGTGGTTCAGGCCGCTGCTAGCTTCCCCTACTGTCTCCCACAGACTTCTCTGGAACCGACTTTTCTTTCCACTGAAGCTCATGGCTTGTAGTCTGAGCCTGGGAGCCAGGGTATCTGGATTCACTCATTAGTGTTCTATTTATTTGTTAATTTACTTCCATACAGGTTGTGTGAAGTTGGTACATAATCTGTCTTATGTGTTAATAGGGTGTGAGTCTTGCATAGTTTCCTCTGTCTTCTTAATTGTGCAGGTGTTTTTAAGAGACATAATGGGTTTTTCAAATTTTGTCGGTGAATATCACCTCAGCTACCCAGAATTTTTCATGAAAAATTTGTTTATGAAAAAAAATCATAATAAAGGCCACTGTTAGATATAGATACTTTTAAAATTAAGTACCTTGTTTCCTTTTTTACTTGCATCTAACACAGATATAAATGGGAAAATGATTGGACATCGTTAATTGCTATGACGGTTATCAATTAATATTTGTCTGCAATTTCTTACAAATACATTCGATAAATGGGGCTAAAATCACAGGAAGACAGTAGGGAGAAGGAGCCAGGTTTTCCAGTGACGGCATGAAATACATTAGGTGCAGGGGTCCCGGAACTACCCTGAGGTGTGTGCTTGGTGAGGTTCAGGGAGAGGCTACCCCAGGTGACATCACACAGAGGAAACGTGCTCTGCAGCAAACAAGGGGATCAGGGGAGGAATTTCCCAAGCTGTGGCTCCCTGAGGGGCGTGAGCGGGTGCTGTTATTCAGGGTTAGGCTGACCGGTCACTAAGGGGAGTCCTGTCATCCCAGGTAAAGGTGGGCACAGGGTCGTGCAGGGGGACTGAGAACACCAGCTGTGCTGTGTCCTGTGGTGGGTTCCTGAAGCTTGTGCTCCTCCCAGGGCCGAGAGTTAACATTATAAGAGGCAGAGTCACCGGAGGACACGCCATGGTCCTTCTGCGCAGGACGAGTTGGTGCAGGAGCTCAAACCCATCTCGGCTGTGGGACCATTCGTGCTGTTTGCCTCTGCAATGCAAGGTTAACATTCCTGTGAAGAAGAAGGGGTTTCCCTGGGGGTCTTGCTGGTGACAGTTTTAACCTCACTAACCCTGTGGGGAATGGTTTCATCCTGCAAAAAGAACTCAAGAATGTGCGTCCGGTTAGTCTTCACTTTTGACACAGTCCTGGGAGTTTACCACCGAGTTATTGTCTCTGATGTGGTTGCACTAAGTCCTGGTCTGGTAGAGACTGCGAGATTTTGCATTCCCTTTGTTCCCTTAAAATCCTTACCCACTGTGGTTGTTGCATTTCTTTGTTCAAACACTTCCTAGGTGGTTTGGGAAGATGTGTGTTGGGCAAGTAGATCCTGAGGGCACAGATAATGGAAAAAACCTGGGGGCCTAAGATGACAGCTTTTACGTCAGGAGAGATGTCTCTCCTTTTTTTTTTCGTTTTTCTACAGGGACCCCTAATTGTTCTGGTTATAGGGGGTTCAAGGTATTTAGTTTAAAAATGATTCACTGATAAGATAACTCAGGAAAATCTTTAGAAATATATAAAAGTTTCCATTATTTCAGTAGTAATTAAAATAATAGGGCGCCTGAGTGGTTCAGTCGGTTAGCATCTGCCTTAGGCTCAGGTCATGATTCCAGGGTCCTGAGATCAAGCCCAGCATCAGGCTCCCTGCTCAGTGGGGAGCTTCCTTCTCCCCCACCCTCTGCGGGCCTCTCTGCCTACTTCTGTTCTCTCTGTCAAATACATAAGTAAATGTTTAAAAAATAAAGTAAAAGAAAACTATAATTATTTTCGTAAGTTAAAATTAATGAAAATGATACTAGTAATATTGCCAACAAATAAAAATGCTCATGTTACTGGACAGAGAACCAGTTCTGAGCTCACGTTGGGCTGTTCACCACTGGAAAATCAATAGTGAAGAGGCAAATGGTGGGCAAAAGAAGGTGCTTTATTCAGGAAGCCAGCACCCTGCGAAGATGGTGGACAAACACCTCAAAGACCACCTTCCCGGACCAGGTGCCACCCGAAGGTGTTACAGGGGGAGGTGCAGGCGAGGCTGGGGGCTCTGTTCAGGAGAACCAGGTGCTCAGGGTGTCAGTCCTGTCAGTCCTATGTGGACATGACCATGAACAGACTTGCTGGCATCCTTGACAGCGGCTTCCAGTGTGGTCAGGTGTTAACTCCTTCAAGCCAGCAGTCTACAAATGTCAAGGAAATTCCGGTAGTTCTGCTAGAAACCAAGGGACTTAGGTCAGCAAACAGAGTGCATAAGCTTGAAACAAGCTCACCCTTAAGACCAGTGGGAGTGCTGTTACCCTGAGAGGAAGCATCCTGAGATGTGTGCAATCTGTATGCTATAGGAAATCATAATATTCCCTGAAGAATATGAAAGCACATTTGTTTTATATTTTTGTTTTGGTTTTTTTAAAGATTTCATTTATTCACTTGAGAGAGAGAGAGAGAGCACAAGCTGGTGGAGAGGCAGAAGGAGAAGGACAAGCAGACTCTCCGCCAAGCTGGGAGCCTGACGTGGGGCTCCATCCCAGGACCCCGGGATCATGACCTGAGCCAAAGGCAGATGTTTAAGCATCTGGGCCACCCAGGTGCCCCATGAAAGCGCATTTGAAAACATGGTGAACATCTGATTTTTGTCTTGAATAAGGAAACAAACTACAAATATGTCAATAGGTAGTAGGTGATTTCATGCAGCTCATCTTCTCGCTTCTATTTTCCTATTTGGAGTGGTTGGAAGATACTTCATAACTTCAAGGAAATTGAGGGAACTTGGCCACATGTTGCAGAAAAGAAAGGACATAACCATGCTTTACAGAGAAGGATGTGAGAAATGAAGGCTCACACAGTGTCTGAACTAGGGACATCCTAGAGGGGTCTCACGCATTCACAGGGGAGCAGTCAGCATGGCCACGTGCACCTATAGCCACACTCAGCTGGAGGTTCAAGTGGAGAGAGAGCATCCTGGCGGATTGGATGGGTGGGTGGGTTAGTGAGGTGAGTGGGACTAACCATGGTGCAGTTACAAAGGATGGATTACAATGATGATAATGGGATCCATGATTGTAATAAGTGAGGAGGAACAGGGATTTAAAGAAATGAAGATATCAGCAGGGAAAGGGAGAGAGAAAAATGTACTTCCTTTCATGTTCACCAATATTCTCCTGCCTGTCCTCACTTGAATAGCGGAGGTGCTATTCCTCCCACCCAGCCTCCTGCCTTGTCACTTTGACACCAAAGCAGATGTAGAAAGAAATCACTTGTGATAATAGGTGAACAATTAAAGCGACAAATAACAGTGGGGCGCTCTTACCCTCTCATCTAGGTTTGAGTCTCTTCCACGTGCCCCTCAGTGATGTGGCTTCCCCAGTCTTCTCACTCCACACGTTCTCCCCCAGTGACTCTGCTTCCCTCTTGATGCCCCATCCACCAGATTTGTTGATTGGATACAAGGACTCATGGATGGTCCTCATCCTTCTTTTGCCAAGTAGTGACCCCAAGTTTTCTATCTCCAAACAATTCTGTATATGCTTGACACTTTTTGAAGTGTCAAATCAATTATATAATTTGTTATGAAAGCAATGATTGTATTCACCTCAGCACCCAAAATAGACTCCCTGCATCAAGACTAGGGCTCCTCTCTCCCTCACCACATGACATGGGATCTATTTCCTTAACATATTTTAAAGCACACAATATTGTATTATAAGCTAGAGAGGCTATGTTGTCTCACAATTCTCTGAGGCTTATTTATCCTGCAAAACTAAAATTTTATACTCACTGAACAGATATTTGCCATTTCCCCTACCCTAGTCGTGGCAACCACCCTTCTCTTCTCTGCTCCTCTGAGTTTCACTGTGAGGGTAATCAGGTAGGATTTGCCCTCAGGGACGGGCTTATCCCACTTCGCATAATGTTCTCTAGATTTGACTTCCTCCTTTTATAAGGGCGAATAACTGTGTGTATATACAGAGAAGAAGGACTTAATGGCCTCCAGTCTTGGGTAAAGAAATCACAGGGAACAGGTAGATGGTGGAGTAAATGTTAAGGAGAGGAGACAGACGGGATTTCAAAGAAACTGAGAATATGATTTAGTTGGATGAATTCCTGCCAAGAGCTCTCTTGACTAAGGGACTGTGAGATGATCAGTTGTCCAAATGTGTTAAATACAGAGCTCAAAATCAACTCTGTGGTCCGTGGAAGTCCAGTATCAACTCCTCAGCCCCAAATCCCACAGAGGTCCTGGCAGAAAACCTCATGATGCAGGAATGACGGGTGTGTGGGCTCTGTGTTCACAGGAGAGATGGTTCTGCCAGGGAGAAGTAGATGAAGGGAGGCAATATACGACTGATTACTTATGTGCTGCTTAGGAATTGTTCTCATCAAATATCTCACTTGTATTGATGATGGCTGTGGTAGGGGGATGGGTGCAGTGTCCATTTTGTATAATTTTGTGCAACATCAGATACGTCCACAGTACATATGTGTCTGTCCCTACCAGGCATGATGTATGTGAGTCCTGCTATTACGTGATACTCCAATGTGCCAACGTGTGTGCCCTCACTCGGACCAGGGGATGAGCCCAGCTACTGCCAACAGACAGAGAAGCTGGTGTGGGGGCCATGGGAGGGGCAGGAGCTCAGGGGGCTCCAAGGACAGAAGAGTGATGAGGCCAGGGCACTGAGGACCAGGACAGGGGCCGCAGGTGGGTGTGCAGCTAGGCGTGATCAGCAAATGAAAGGGCATCTCAGTGGGGCTAATGTGATATAGTTTCTG